CAATTGATTGTGAACTGGCAGAATTGAGTATAATAGATAATCCTCTACTATCTAACATGGCACAAAATATGAAATTGAAGTATGACAAGTATTGGGGATCACTTGATAATGTGAACCAATTCTTGTTGGTAGTTGTGGTACTTGATCCTAGGTATAAGTTGGACAATTTATCTATGCATATTGCTGAATTGTATGTGGAAGATGATTATTATGTTGTCACGAAGACAGCTGATGTCAAAGCACTTTTGTTCAAGCTTTATGGGTTGTATGAGGCATGTTTTGTTAGTAATCCGACTCAAAGTGGTAGTAGTTGTAGTACACCTTCAATGGTTAGTAATCAAACTCAAAGTGGTAGTTCTCAGTCCTCAAATTTTGGAGGTGATAAGAAAAAGGCTATGAAAGAAAAGTGGAAAAAGAGGCAAGAAGATAAAGAGGCAGTAGTTCTATCTCATGAGATAGATAGATATTTGTCAGATGCTGCAGAACAGGATGTTGAAGAGTTTGATATTTTAAATTGGTGGAGGGTGAATGCTTCTAAATATCAAGTGTTGGCAGCCATTGCAAGGGATGTGCTTGCAATTCCAGTCTCTACAGTTGCCTCTGAATCTACATTTAGCACGGGAGGGAGAACAATTAACTCATTTCGTAGTTCGTTGAGTCCTGCTATGGTTGAGGCTTTGATTTGTACACAGAATTGGTTGAAGTCCACTTCAATATCTTTAGAAGTTGAGCCTACCATTGAAGAGATGGAGTTCTATGAAACAATTGAGTCAGGTAATAACATATCTCTTTTAATTGTTTATAACTTGTGTGTTTATTATGTTGAAACTAAATTTGTGATTGTGTTTCTTATGTAGAAATGAAGAAATCAAATGCTATGGGGCCTTTACATGTTTCTTGTGATTGAGAAAGGAAATGAAGACATGCTACGTATTGTTTTTTGTTTTTTGAAAATTCTAGTTTGATTTGTATTAATTAGTTGGATATTGAAGTTTATTTCTATTTGTTAGCAAATGTGGGATTGTATGCATGTTGAACTTTGTTTTACTGGAAATTTGCTTAACTTTCCATGTTTGATGTATTGGATTTTTGGATGATTTGATGATAATTTTGATAATTGTAGCTGGATTAGTTTATGTTTTAGGATGTTTGTTAACAGGTTCTTTGTTATTGTAACATGTTTTGTTTTATGTCTAAACCGGCCGAACCAAACCGCACCAAACCGATTATGAATGGTTTGGTTTGGTTTGGTTTTCATTTTGATTGTAACTAAAACCGAGCCGAATCAAACCGTCATATTGTAATTGGTTCGGCCGTGGTTTTGAGGTGAAACCGATCCAATCCGGACCGTGCCCACCCCTAGCTACACCCAGTCAGGTCATGTTTAAAAACTAAAAAGGTTTTTTTATGCTACAAAAATGTCATTTGCTTGAAAGGGATTGGGATTGAAGAAATTGCTTGGCCATTCCTTTGGATTGATAGACTACTTCTCGTCCATTTATTGTGAAATGGTATAAAGAAGTGAGCAAAATGTCGCAGTCATCACATAGCTATATTATACAAAGTAATGTAATAACTAGTGAGGAGATGGAGGAGTGGGGAAAGGTGAAACTTAATACATATTTATACAATTGGGTTGGCCCAAAAATAGATTTAGAAATAGGCCCCCGTGAATTTAACTGATGATTAAAAAATGTTTTACAAATAGCATTGATTAACATTGTTAATGAGTGACAGGTTTTAATAATAATATAATTCCCTAATGCATCAACTTGGTGGTTGACACTTGATGTGGATTTGATGAAAAAATAGTGATGTTATTTGTGCATATTTACTGAACACATTATTGATCACCTCTCCCATATATATTGGTGGGGCTCATTTCTATTAGAGAGTTGGTCAGTAAATGTGGTACAAATAAATCACTTAAAAAAAAGTGATGGATTTTGTTGGAGCTAATCTAAACAGATAAAGATAGATACAACTTACAGGTGATGTGGACGATCTAGGGATCGATTGAGTGCCTGACGCAGGTTCCTCCCTTCCTGGGATGCCGATCCTGAATCGAGAAAAGCTGAGGCTCGTGAGGTTTAGGGCACCGGTGTGGTATTAGCCAAAGACCCTCCGATGCCGAAGTAAGTTTCTTTTTAAGAGCTTTTCTACTGACAATGTATTTAGCATAAAAGTCAAGCTGAAAGTCTTACCCCTTGTCTGTAGTGAAGGGGCTTATTTATAGAGGGCATTTAGTGTGCTCTTAGTACTTAGTTTCGATGTGGGACTCGTGGGAGGGTCTTCTGAGGTCGGCACGAGTCTCTGGATATTTAAGCGGGGCCTTCAAGGTTTGTTCCGTAGAATCGTCAATGCATGCCGATTGTAGGCTTTGCATGTCTATCGGTAGCTGATACCGATTGTTTGCTCAGCGAGGCGATTGGGAGAGCTTACCATTCCACGTGTCACAATATGAGTGGAGGGTCAGATATGGTACAAACAGATTTTAAGAGGTAACACATTTTTTATTGGATATGTTATAGTACACACCCATTGGAACAACTTTCATGAAGAATGCGGCCTCATCCGAGCTACGTAGGTTGCTGAAACAAAGCTTGCAATATGACCTACGGAACTGGACTGGCAGGGGGCTGTAGCCATAATGAATTTGTCTTTAAGCTCTTCATCAATTCATCCAAATTAGGCCTTAACATGCTTGAATTGCATGAATTATGTTCTCCAAAGCCATCATTGTTACCTAAAGCTCAATTAACTGAAAGATAAACACAAAAAGGATTAAAAGCACAAGTTTAACTCAAAAACATAACCAAATCATAAGCTAGAAGGGTACAAAATGATATACAATTATGAACCGATCATTTATTATGTTGAAACTAAATTTGTGATTGTGTTTCTTATGTAGAAATGAAGAAATCAAATGCTATGGGGCCTTTACATGTTTCTTCTGATTGAGAAAGGAAATGAAGACATGCTGCCTATTGTTTTTTGTTTTTTGTTTTTTGAAAATTCTAGTTTGATTTGTATTAATTAGTTGGATATTGAAGTTTATTTCTATTTGTACGCAAATGTGGGATTGTATGCATGTTGAACTTTGTTTTATTGGAAATTTGCTTAACTTTCCATGTTTGATGTATTGGATTTTTGGATTATTTGATGATAATTTTGATATTTGTAGCTGGATCACTTTCTGTTTTAGTATGTTTGTTAACAGGTTCTTTGTTATTGTAAGATGTTTTGTTTTATGTCTAGACCAGCCGAACAAAACCGCACCAAACCAATTATGAATGGTTTGGTTTTCATTTTGATTGTAACTAAAACCGAACCGAACCAAACCATCATATTGTAATTGGTTCGGCCGTGGTTTTGAGGTGAAACCGATCCAATCCGGACCGTGCCCACCCCTAGCTACAAGCATTCCAGCGGCCATCCTAGCCATCAACCTCCATCCTTTGGCTGCTGCAAGCATCCTTGCAGCCATTGACCAACAAAGCCCACATGAAATCCCTCATCCTAGCACTTCCTTTTACCCATAGTTTATGGCATGAGAGAGGAGAATGCATTGTTGTTGTAATGCATGCCAAGCTTGGTTTGTGGCTATGCTTGGCGACTCAGTGGCCATCCTAGCACGTCAAACCATTGCTGATGTTGATATGAGATTATATGGCCTCTTCCATCTTCTCTATAAAGCCTCACCAAGCATAACTCCAAGCTTTTTCTTCCTTCCAAGCTATAAACATCATAGCCTTCAAACCTCAAGCTTTTCCTCCCATTATCCTTCTCTTGAAACTCTTACTTAGGTAGATGGCTTGTTGAGTTGGCAGTACTTGGCTTATTTCAAAAAAAGGGAAATAGAAAACTGTTTGTCACCATAATGCAGGATTGTCTAGGCTTGTTGTAATCAAATAGATGATTTATATTGTATGGCAAAAAAGGTGGATGGGTTTGCTTGTTTGGATGGCATGGTGTCCTTATTTGAATTTGCTTGGCATAAAGCCCCCCAAGTCAACTTGTTGGGGTCAGCAATTGGTTGCTTGGTTTTGATAGTTTGGCTTCGATCTGGTTTTAAAACCAGAGTGAAGCTGTATCTACACAACAACACGTCAAAACATAAAGGCATAAATCAAGCATCTTTGCTGCTGGAAAATTACTCAACACACCCATTGTCCTTCCCTCTCTCTCTCTCTCTCTCTCTCTCTCTCTCTCTCTCTTCAATGAATCCTCTTAAAATTCATTCTCCCCTTACTTTAAACCCCTAGTTCTCATAAGAAATCATAGCCTTCTCTCTCTTTAATGCTAAACGCATGACTGCTTTGCTTCCAAGCCACGAGCCTCTCATGCTAAGCTAAGTATCTATCTGTAAGTGACTGTTGGTTTTGCTGGTGAAGGTAACCAAGGTGCTTCCTAAGGCTCAACTACCCTTTCGAAGCATTCTTGGGGTCTAATCTTGAACTCAGACACAAGTGGCAATTCCACACATTTGGATTTTTACAGCAGCCCAGGCCCGTCAATAGCCGCCGGAACGAAAAATGCCTATTCCTAAATGCCAAAACTCAAACACACAAGCACATCCACATGCTAAATAGCAAAAAAGCTATATTAAACCATGTCACCTTAGCCAATACCAAGCATACAAGCCAATGCCAAGCGCACACGCCAATGCCAAGCATCCAAGCCAATACCAAGCATATAAGCCAAAGCCAAGCGTACGAGCCCAAAATCAAGCATACATGCCAATGCCAAGCATCCAAGCCAATTACCAAGAATACATGCCAATATCAAGCATACATGCCAATACCAAATATACACGCTAAAACAAAGCATGCAAACCAATATCAAGCATACAAAACTAATGCAACTCTTGCAAACCACAACCATGCCAAATCAAGCATCACTAGTCACTCTAGCACATCAATCATGCAAGCTAACTTATTTTGGGTTAAAATTCAACCAAGCCTTATCTCCTATGTCGTACCACAAAATAAGCCAACTTCTGGTAACCCCAGTAAGTAAACTCCGATATTACAGTGTCTAGGAAAGTTCTTCAAGGCGACATCCTCGATGTCTAAGAAGATTGAGTTTTCAGTGGGACCATTGCAACCCCTCCAACCTTCCCGGAAAAGACCCGGCTATGATTTAGAAGACTCTTAATTGGTTATCCTTGAGTTGTTTATCGTTGTGTTTAAACTCAAGCTAATAATTGCCAAAACCATGCTAAACTTCATGCTAAGAAAAACAAAACGACTACAGCCAAGTAAAAAGCATGGATATTTCATGCATATTGAAGAACCAGCCATGCCATGTCACTGCCAATTATTTTGGGTCGAAATTTATTATTTGGCCCATCTCGCTGCCGCTACATGGCCCTGTCTGCCGCGCAAATCTCACGGCCTGGAGTTCCGGGCCGAGGGGATATGCGTTGACATGCGGCTTCCTGCTTTTGGGTGCGGTGCGGTTGTGCACGGGCGTGCCAGCACGGTCTATCGTGCGTTGAGATGTTGATGAGTGTAGGATGGATAAGTGGTGCGCCTGTTTGAACTCATCTTCTAATCAAACGATTGTAGCCGAGAGAGGAACTAGTCTCGGCTGTTAGGTTCACGGCCTGAACTATAAGGCCGTTGAGTGATGGTGTTGGTGGTGGGTTTTGGGTAGTGCTCAGGGAGCGACGGTCGTATGATATATGGGGTGAGTGAGCGAACAACAGGGATGGTGCTCCGGCGCCTTGAAAATCAAGGGTCGTATGATATATTGATGAATGAATTTTCCTTACAGTCTAACACTACTCCTAGGAAAGCAAGTAAAGATATTGAAAGTGCATTACAGGAAAAAATAAATTGCTCCGTGGGAGGCTTTTGTTTGGTGTTTGAACCCTTTGAATGTAGCTCGAGCCTTGTATTTATAGGAAGAGTT